TTATGTTTGTCTGACTGAGTCAGCTCAGAGAACCAGTCTTTGAACTCTGAGAGTCATTCCTCAGCTGGGTCTATTTTGAAAATTATGGAACGCCTCATGAATATATGTGTCATCCTTGTTCAGCGGCCATGCTAATCTCTGTATCATTCCAATTTTAGTATATGTGCTGCCAAAGACAGCACACATCTAAGAATTCTTTGCCTAGACCTCAATCCCAAAATTTTTATCCAATTTTTTTTCTAACATAGAATGCAAAACAGTTTTGCAAATTACACTTAAGTCTGCAATCCATTTTGGGTTAATTTTTATGTGTAATAAAATGTGAGGTGTATGTTGAGGTTCATATTTATTTGTTTTTCTATGGATTTGCAATTGCTCCAGCACCATATATTGAAAAGGCTGTTCTTCCTCCATTGAATTGCTTTTGCACCTTCATCAAAAGTCAGTTAGGCATATTTGTTTGGCTCTATTTCTGGGTTTTCTGTTCAGTTCCACTGATATATGTGTCTGTCCTTCTACCAATATTATACAATTTTGATTACTATAGCTACATAATAAGTCTTGAAATTAAATAGACTGATTTCTCTTACTTTATTAAAAAATTTAAAGCTATTTTTCTTCCTTTACTTTTTCACATAAATGTTAGAAAGAAAGATGTTGCCCATATCTACAAAAATTCTGCCTGGGATTTTGAAAGGAATTGGATTAAATCTATATGTCTATTTAGGGAAAATTAATATCTTTCATATGTTGAGTCTGCCAGTCATTAAATACAGCCTGACTCTCCATTTATTTAGATTTTTTTTTATTTCCTTCATCGGCATTTGGTAACTTTCAGCATATAAATACTGTTTATGTTTTGTTGAATTTACACTCAAGTACTTCATTTTTTGAGTGATTGTAAGTTGTATTTTTAATTTTGGTGTTTATGTGTTCATTGCTAGTATAATGAAATAGAATCAATTTTTGTATGTTCATTTTCTATCCTATGACCTTGTTGAACTCACTTAGTATTTTTAGGCGATTACTTGTAGATTCCTTAGGAATTTCTGTGTAGACAATTATACCTACAAATAGAATTAGTCTTGTTTATTTCTTCCTAATCAATGTAATTTTTATTTCCTTTTCTTGCTTTATTGTACTGAATAGAACTTCCAGTAATATGGGTGAATAAGAGTGTTTTATATAAAAGCAGACGTCTTTGTTTTCTTTCTGATCTTTGAGGGAAAGCATTAAATTTTTCATCATTAAGTATAATAGTAGCTTTATGCAGTGGAGGAAATTCACTTCTATTTCTAGTTTTTTTTAGAGCTTTTGGTATGAATTGGTGTTGAATTTTTTCAAGTGCTCATTCTCAAGTGGAATAATCATGTGATATTTTTCCTTAGTTTGTTAAATGGTGGATTACACTGATTGATTTTCAAATGTTGAACTAACCTTACATCCCTGAAATAAGCCCACTTTGTCATGGAATATAATTAATTTATCTTAAATATTACTGAATTCTATTTGCTTATATGTTCTTAAGAACTTTTTCATGTATTTTCATGAGTGATACTGGCTTATGATTTTTTTTTTTGTACTGTCTCCCTATGATTTTGATATCAGGGTAATAATAGCTTCATAACATGAATTAGGAGTGTTATCTTATATTTTCTGGAGGAAGTTGTGTAAAGTTGGTGTTAATTCTTCTGTAAACATTGGGAAGAATTTTCCAGTGAAACCATCTGGGCCTGATAACTTATTTTGGGAAAACTTTTAAATTATGAATTCAATTTTCTTGATAGTTATTGGACTACACAAATTATTTCATTCTGAATTAGTTGTTGTACTTTGTGATTTTCAAGGAATTGGTCTATTTCATCAAAATTTCCAGAGTTTTGCATGTAGAATTGCCACAGTATTCCCATATTAACTTTTTAATATCTGCAGGATCTGTCATGATATTCCCTCTTTTATTCTTAGTATTGGTAATTTGTGGATTTTCTTTTTTTTTCCCTTTGTCAGTCTTGCTAGAGGTTTGTCAACGTAATTGATCTTCTCAAAGGATGAGGTTTTAGTTTTTTTGAGTTTTTGTATTGTTTTTCTGGTTTCACATTAATTTGTGATTAATGATTTCTGCCTTTTCTTCTATTTATTTTGTGTTCATTTTTCTTTTCTTTGTCTAAGTTCTTGGGGTAGGAGTTTAGGTTACTGATTTCAGACTTTTTCTCAGTTCTAATGTAGGCATTTAATGCTGTAAATTTCCCTCTAAGCACTGTTTTAGCTGTATCCCACAAATTTTTATATGCTGTACCTTCATTTTTATTCAGTTCTTTTGGGACTTCCTCTTTGATCCATGGATTATTTAGAAATGCATTGTTTATCATTCTGTTGTTGATTTCTAATTTTCTTACACTGTAGTCAGAGAACACAATTTCTATGGTTTTAATCCTTTAAATTTGTTGAGGTTTGTTTTATGGTCTAGAATATGATCTATCTCCGTATAGGTTCCATGGGCTCTTAAGAAGAGTGTGTATTCTGCTGTTTGTCTGGTGGAGTGTTCCATAAATGTCAATTAGATTCTATTGGTTGATAGTGTTGTTGAGTTTTCCATATTCTTGCTGATTTTCTACCTACCTATTATATCAATTGTTGAAAGAGGTCTATTGAAGTTTACAACTGTAATTGTAGATTTGTCTATTTCTCTTTTCAGTTTCACCAGTTTTTGTTTCAGATATTTCATAACTCTGTTGCTTTTTGTATACACATCTATGTTTATATATAAACATAGATATTTCATAACTGTTACTTTTTGTATACACTTCTATGTTCTCCTGGTAGAGTCACCCTTCTAACATTATGTAGGGCCAGGCTCAGGCAATGATCCATGCCTGTAATCCCAGTGCTTTTGGAGGCCAAGGTAGGAGGACTGCTTGAGGCCAGGAGTTTGAGACCAGCCTGGGCAGCAAAGTAATATCCCATCTCTACAAAAAATAAAATAAAATAGAATAAATTAGCCGGGCATGGTGGTGCACACCTGTAATCCTAGCTACTCCAGCGACTGAGACAGGAGGATTGCTTCAGCCCGGGAGTTGAAGGCTATAGTGAGGTATGATCATGCCACTGCACTTCAGCCTGAGTAACAGAGTGATATGCTATCTCTAAAATAATAATAATAATAATAAATTTTAAAAAATATTGTGTAATGTCACTCTGTTTCTGGTAAATTTCTCTGCTCATAAGTCTATTTTATCTGATATTAATATAACTATTCCCACTTTCTTTGGATTAATTTTTACATGGTATGTCTTTTTGTATCCATTTACTTTGTTATATTTATTTCAAATATTTGAAGTAAGTTCCTAATAGACAGCAGGTAATTGAGTCATGTTTTTAATATGTTCTGCTAATCTTTGTCTTTTAATTGGTGTATGTGGACACTCTTTTATCCATATAATTTACTTCTTTAAAATTCAATAACTAATGCATACACAATGTATAAAATTTTAAAGATACTAAAGAGTTTCTGATATTAAAAACATTGAACTGAGCATGGTGGTTTATGCCTGTAATCCCAGCACTTTGAGAGGCAGAAGCAGAAGGATCATCTTGAGGCCAGGAGTTTGAGACCAGCCTGGGCAATGTAGTGGCATCCTGTATCTCCAAAAATAATTATATATGTATATAAGCTGGGTGTGATGGTACATGCCTGTAGTTCCAGCTACTTGGGTGGCTAAGCTGGAGGGATCTCTTGAATCCAGAAGTTCAACACTGTAGTAAGCTATGATCATGCCATTGCACTCCAGCTTGGGTGGCGGAGCAAGACCTGTCTCTAAAAAAGAAAAAAAATATATTAAAAAGTCAGTTCCCTTCCATTCCACCTCTTTCCCCAGTCCTCCCATCCCCTTCCCAAGAGGTAACCATGTTTTCCAGTTTTATGTTGTCTTCTATCAGAGTTAGTCTACAAAATGAAAACATATACAGGACTATATAAAATATAAATGAGAACAAAGTATATGTATTGTTCTACTTGTTGCCTTATATATAATTAATAGCACATCTTGAAGATCTTTTTATATTGGTACATATAGAATACTGGCAACATTTAAATAAAAATAGTTTCTTCCAGTTTCAAACGTCTTAGAAGTCAATCTCAGGAAGTATGTTCTCGTATAGAAGATTAAATCTAAAAATCTACATGAGTTGAGACATTTATGGAGCAGAATGGAGATTGTAATTTATGATGAAATATGTAAATTGGTAAATATTTAGAGCTCGAATAAGAAATAATTTTGAAGAAACATAATGGCAATCTATTTATAAGCCATACATTTCCAGAGAGTTGTGAAGTTACTTACCAGCAACTGCCCATATGGCCAACAATAATGGAGGAAGACCAAGAAAAGAAAAGGCAATATTTTAAGTCAAAATTTAGCTCTGGAAACTTTGTAAAATACTTCATGTCAGTATTACCTTACTATTATTATTACCCAAATGGAGGAAAGCCTAATATCCCATGAAATAAAACAAAATTCTAGATCTTAGAACTTTTCTAAGTTCTGAGAGAACTGCAAAATAAAGACTGGGTGATTCATCTATTTAAACAAGACATATTAGCTACTTAACTGTGTTTGAGACACAGTTCTAGTCAATGAATAAGATAGCCAAGGTGTCTGCAATCTTGGAGCTTACATTCTGGGGAAGGCAGTGAGAGGAAAGAAAATTAAAACATAAAAACAACACAAAACAAAAAAGCCAGGTAGTGGTATGCACTGTGATGAGAACAAAGCAGGGTTATGTTTTACCAAGACACAAGAAGATTATTGTATACTATTTGGTATTAGAAGATGATGTTACACTGAGAAGCCCAGGAAACCATATCCATAATCCAAGAAAAAGTCTTTTGCTTACATTTCTCAAGTTTGCTCTGTCCTCCTCTGACCTCTTTCTGGCCAAATTCTTAAAGCCACAGTGTAATTCCACATTCTTGGTAAAGCCTTCTAAAATATTCCTGCCAGGAAGAAGAGAGTGCACCTGATGTAGTAGCCACTGTAAGAACTGTATTGGAGAATGATCTGATTGGCCCGTGCAAGAGGGATTGGAGAGAAGAAGAAACCGCAAGCAGAAAAACCAGATGAGGAAATTAAGCTAAATATTAACTATCTCAAGAATATTCCCAGAAGTGACTGCTAAATTTAAGTCCCTGCTTACAATGAAATACTGTATAGCAGGGGTTCTCAAACGTTTTGGTCTTAGAACCCTTACAGCCTTAAAAATTATTGAGAACTCCAAAGAACTTTCAATTATGTGGGTCATAACTACTGATATTTACTGTATTATAACTTGAAACTGAAAAAATGTTAAAATATTTATAAACATTGAAAAATAATAAACCCATTGTAAGCTAATATAAATCGCATGTTTTTGTTAAACATCACTTTATTTTCCAAAGCAAAAAATTTAGTGAGAAGAGAGGCCTTCTTTTACATTTTAATATCTGGCTTATGAGAAAATAGCTGAGTTTCTCATTTCTGCTTTTCCATTTAATCTGTTGGTGTATGTTTTATTTAAAGTACAGTTAACCCTTGAAGAACATGGGTCTGAACTGTGCAGGTCCACTTATACGTGGATTCTTTTCCAATAAAAGTTGCAGATGTGCCTGTCTCTCCTGCCTCCTTATTCACCACCTCTCCTGCCTCAGCCACTCCTGAGTCAGCAATACCAACCGTTCCTCTTCCTCCTCCTTCTCAATCTACTCAGCATGAAAATGATGAGGATGAAGACCTTTATGACGATCCGCTTTCACCTAATAAATAGTAAATATATTTTTTTCTTATAATTGTCATTTATTTATTTGTTGAGACAGAGTCTTGCTCTGTCACCCAGTCTGGAGTGCAGTGGCACGATCTCGGCTCACTGCAACCTCCGCCTCCTGGGTTCAAGTGATTCTCATGTCTCAGCCTCCCGGGTAGCTGGGACTACAGGCACACGCCATGCCCAGCTAAATTTTGTATTTTTAGTGGAGATGGGGTTTTGCCATGTTGGCCAGGCTGGTCTCGAACTCCTGGCCTCAAGTGATCCTCTCACCTAACCCTCCCAAAGTGCTGGAATTACAGGTGTGAGCCACTGTACCTGGCCATGATTTTCTTAATAAGATTTTTTTCTCTAGCTTCCTTTATTGTAAGAATACAGTACATAAGACCAAAAAAAAAAAGTGATTTGTTTATGTTATCAGTAAAGCTTCTGGTCAATAATATGCTATTAGCAGTTAAGTTTTGGGGGAGTCAAAAAGTTATATGTGGATTTTCAACTGCATGGGGACCAGCTCCCCTAACCCCCATATTGTTCAAGGGTTAACTATATATGAGAAAAAATCCAACCTCACACAGGTAAGTAATAAATTGCTTTTTAAAAATGTGGATATTCTTCTTTGATAATACACCAAGACGTGACAAGTGGTAGTGTCTTAAAGACTGGTTTCAGTGTGGATTCTGCAACCATGTCAATGGAACTTCCCATATTCTATGAAATTAAAATCCACTGGTCTTCCTTGTACTTTGAGTGGATCTTTTATCCACACATGAGTTTGTGTTATACATTGGCTATTTGGGCAATATTCATTCACTAAATTAGTCAGATCCTACAAATTTTTCAGTATTTCTTTATATATATTTTTTTAAAAAATCAGGAAGTCTTCAAGTTCATGGTGGTGGATATGTTTTCCAGAACTCTAATTTTTGTTTGAAAGCTCAAGTTTTATCATTAGCATCAAATGCTGACAGTTGCTTTTCTGGAAGTTACAAGCTCACTTCATTTATTTTTGAGAAAATGTTTGCCAAGTACCTAAGTCTGAATAAACACAGTTTTCCCATCATTCCTTTAAATAAAATTGCTTTTCATGACAAAGGTGATTAGTTTAACTTACAACTCAACTGATTTTCCTCATGAGCTCTTTTTGTCCATTGTGCTTTCTGTTGCAGAAGTATTTTATAAGCACTTTACATCACACAGAAAATATTTAAAATATATGTACTCAAGAATTGAGAAGTAATAAAATTAATTTTTTTTTTTTAATTTTTAGTTTTTTAGAAACAAGGTCTCACTCAGTTGCCCAAGCTGGAGTGCAGTCGTGCAATCATAGCTTACTGTAGTCTCAAACTACTGGACTCAAGTGATCTTCCTACCTCAGCCTCCAAAATAGCTGGGACTACAAGTATACACCACCATGCTAGTTAATTTTTTTTTTTTTTTTTTTTGTAGAGATGGAGTCTTGCTTTGTTGCCCAGGTTGGTCCTGCACTCCTGGCTTCAAGTGATGCTTCTGCCTCGGCCTCCCCACAAAGTGCTGGGAACATAGGCATGAGCCACGGTGACTGGCCAAATTAAATTTTTTTTTTTTTTTTTTTTTTTTTTTTTTTTTTTTTTTACCAAGAACATTATTAAGCTAAACTAACTTTATGGAAAATAATTGTTTCTTTCTGTTGACTGGTAGTGAATGGTGTTGAACAATAAGAGAGTGATGACTAGAACCATTTGGTGCCGTTCCCTGATTGTGGTAAGGCACCAGCCATTTTTCCCACTATTGCTTTTGTGCTATCAGTGCAATGAAAAAGGCAAATTATGTGTTCCTGTATTTATGAAAATAGTTTACTTCTGGATCACACTTGTGAACCACACTTTGAGAATAGCTACTGGACAAAAATGTGAATGGATGATCTATTACTATGCACAACAATATGGATGAGTGTCAGGAATATAATGCTGAATGATGGAAGCCAGACCGATAATAATATAGGCTACTAGATCTTTTATATCTAAAATACAAAAACAGGAAAAGCTTAACTTTGGTGTTGGAAATTAGGAGAAGGGTTATCCTTAGGGATGCTGAGTGTAATGAGGCATGAGGCATGAGGCATGGGATGCTGTGAATGTTCTTTCCTGAGCTAGACGTTGGTTACAAGGGTCTGTTCAACTGTGAAATTCATTAGCTGTATGCTTATAATATGTACACTTTCTGTGTGTATACTATATTTCAATAAAAAGTTCAGAAAATAATACTTATGTTCTTGTGTTTTGTTTCCTACCTCAGTTAATGGAAAGTTCTGGGTGGTGGCCTCTGAGTAGTAATAATCAAGAAAAAGTGACTTTTTGCTTTTTTCAACGCTAGCAATATTAGCTGTTTAAAAGGTTTTGCCTGGCTTCAAATTAGAGTCTATCGTTTTTAGGATGCTATGTGACTCACACTAGGTGAACACTGACCATGTTTTCCTATGGAATTTTTAAAAATGCAGTGTATGTGGTTGGATGCAAGCTGTCTATGGGTTTATGACCTTCAATGCAATTTTATATTTTCAGTTGACTGTTGTATCTGGAAGGAGATCATAATGAAGCAGAGGCCCTATTTTATGCCTGTGGTCCAGCAGAAGGGGCTGGCTGACACGGAATTAATGTATTCCGTTTATTCATGCTATGGCTGGAGAGGTAGAATTATTCTGCAGGAGAGGTAGGATTAGAACCAAAAAACACTTTAGGCATTTGGCCTTTGCTAAAATAATATTTCTCTCCCAGTCTTCTCTTCCACCTTCCCTACACATTTAAGTTTTCTCCCTCTTCCAGCTTGGCTGAGGCCCTGCCTTACCCACAAAGCCTTTCCCAACTTCTGCTGCCTGTGGCTACTCCCCTCTTTTGAACTCAGCACTCTTTTTTATATTGCCCACCCTCCAGTTTATTTGTTCATTAATTCAATTTATGTTGGTAAACTTATCTAACTCCTACATGTGTAGGTTTAGGATCCAAAGACAAATATTTCAGACCAGCTGAATAGAAGAAAGACAAGTGGAAAGCTCACTTCAATACGGTCTGGCAAGTGTGACACTAGAGAGAGGCACAGCAGGCCAGGAGAACAACTGGGAGGCACAAAGTGGGTCAACATCAGGGGAAGTTTAGAGTCAGATAGCCATCAACTTGAGCCTTTGCTTTGTTATGTACTTTGTGGGGTGTTTGGCAAGTTACTTAAGGTCACTAAATTTCAGTTTCTTCAGGTGAAAAGTGGAGATATTAGGTGTTCCTATCTTAGGGGGCATTGTGAGGAGTAAATGAAGCTGTGTGCAGAACAGCTCCGTAGTATATGCCTGGCACAGGATAAGTGCTCAGTGAATGTGAGATATTATCACTATTATTTTTTATGTGTATAATGTCATGGCCCATGTGGTGAATTGTTCGAGCTATGTCATGACAAATACATAATCTCAATTTAACTCAAAGTTTTAATTTGTATTTCTTGGACTCATAGAGGTTCAGGCTTAGCACATAATCACACTCCTCAAGAGCATCTCTTTTGTTTTTCTTCCCCATCTACTTCTATTATGCATTCAGGAGCTGGCCTTCCTAAGACGCTTCCTTCAAAACTATTTTTTGTTTCTCATCCATTCTGCCCCTGTCTCATGGCCCCAAAGTGGCTGTCACAAACCTATGAGACAGGTATTATACCCATTTTATAGATAAAGGAAGTGAGCCTCAGAGAGCTACTAAGTAACTTATCCAAGATTATACAGCTAATAAGTGACGTTGCCTAGTCTATGTCAAAGTTGCCGGCCTGGCCAGGCATGGTGGTCCACGCCTGTAATCCCAGCACTTCAGGAGGCTGAGGCGGAAGGATTGCTTGAGCCCAGGAGGTGAAGGCTCCAGTGAGCCATGTTTGTGCCACTGCACTCTGGCCTGGGCAACAAAGTGAGACCTTGTCTCAAATAAAAAGAAAGAAGGAAAGAAGGAAGGAAGGAGGGAAGGAGGGGAGAAGAGAGGGAGGGAGGGAAGAGAAAGCAAGAAAGGGAAGGAAGGAAGGAAGGAAGAAAGGAGACAGAGAAAGAAAGAAAGAAAAGGGAAAAGAAAAGGAAAAGAAAGAGAAAGGTAGGTGGTTGGCATGACCAACCAAAATTCCTTATCTCTCATTGTCTCCACAGAAGACCCTACTCTGTCTCCTGCTAAAGGTCTGTCAGAGCCTGTATAAAGGTTTTGAGGTCACTTTCTTTTGGAGCAGGATGTCTAAAGCTGATGCTGTATGTTGCCCGATGAACAGCCATTCCCTTCCCCTTTCTTCCTTGTTGTTAAAGCCTGTCTCCCACGACAGAGGCTGAAAATGCCAAATACCAGTTTTCCCTGCCTCTTTGTTGCTATGGTGTGGGTCTGTGACTCAGTCCTGGCTAATGGGACATGAGGAGAAGTTTGCTCAGAGGCATCTGAAAAGGGTTTGTCTCCTTAGTACAAAGATATATAAGAGGAGTCTCTACTCTCTTCCTACCCTTCCTGTTTTGAACATTGCTTTGTGAAGACATGATGCTTTGGGCTGTGGCAGCCATCTGGTGTCTATAATGTTTTGTGCCCCCTCTTCATGCATTTTAATCTCAGATGGTAAAAGACACCCTCAAGTACACTAGGACTTACCTATAATTAATTATGCTATTCAGAACATGTTATGTAAATGTTAACATGACCATGGTAAAGAATAGAATATTTTAATGGAAATGTTTGTGAGGAGGCAGAAACCTTTGAAATTATCTAGATTATCAACTCTTCATTTCACAGAAAAAAGAAACTGATATCCAAAGCTTTTAAACATCTTTCCTAAAATTATACTTGGTTAGTGACAGAATCTGGCATAGAAGCTAGGCCTTCTGACTCTATTTCAAACATTATTTCTGTAAGACATTTCTTGATGAATAAGACATCACTCAGTTGGAACTGTGCTACTTAAAATATTTGTGACAAGTAAGTGACCATCTGAAGTGATTCAACTTGTTTGATTCATTTTGTTTCTGAATAGTTCCAAGCTTAGGTGGCTATTTAGTGAGACTATCTGATATTCTTTTTTTCTGAGATTCTTCCTTAAATTTAGTAAGTTGTTTGAAACAGAAGTACCATGATTTTAGTCATTCTGCAGCAGAGAAACCAAAATTCTGTGATGCCCTTTCTCGGTATGATATTAGTCAGAGAAGGAAGAGATATATTACTCCCCAGTGCCATTATTTGTAATTGTGTACTTCACTAAAGGAGATTATAATTAATTTTATTCACAACATATATTTTCAGTGTTATTTTCAACAGAGTTTAGGTCATTATGGATTACTTGAATGTCACTTTGCCCTCCCTTGGCCTGTTGTGGATTGATTTGTAGTCTCTAAGAACATATTCTGAACTCCTAACCTCTGGTACCTAGAAATGTTACCTTATTTGGAAATAAGGTCTTTATAGATGTAGTCAAGTTAAGTATCCTTGTCATATGGAAGACAAGGATCCCCACTCTTACCACTCCTCTTCAATATAATACTGGAAGTCCTAGCCAGAACAATCAGGCAAGAGAAAAAAATAAAGGACATTTGAATTGGAAAAGAGGAAGTAAAATTGTCTCTCTTTGCAGGTTCTTTTATTAAGAAAACTCAAAGGTTCCATCATAACACTCCTAGAGCTGGTAAGCAAATTCAGTAAAGTTGCAGGATACAAAATCAATATGCAAAAATCACCAGTGTTTGTACACACCAATAATGAAATCGTTGAAAAAAAATCAACAAAGAAACCCCATTTACAACCATTGCAAAAAAAAAAAAAAAAAAAAAAAAAAATCTAGGAATAAATTTAACCAAGGCAGTCAAAGATTGCTACAAGAAAAACTACAAAACAGTGATGAAAGAAGTTGAAGAGGACACAAACAAATGGAAAAACAGTCCATACTCATGGACTGAAAGAGTCAATATCATTAAAATGACTGTGCTGCTCAAAGCAATATACATATTCAATGCAATCTCTGTCAAAATACCAATGTCATGTTTCACAAAAACATTTTAAAAATCCTAAAATGTATATAGAACAAAAAATGAACCAGAAGAGTCAAAGGAATCTCGAGCAAAAAGAACCGAACTGGAGGTAACACACTGCCTGACTTCAAAGTATATTACAAGGCTATAGTAACCAAAACAGCATCTTATTGGTATAAAAATAGACACATGGTCAATGAGGAACAGAATAGAGCACCCAGAAATAAATCCACGTATTTACAGTCAACTGATTTTCAACAAAGGTGCCAAGAACATTTATGGGGAAAGGACATGCTTTTCAATAAATGGTGTTGGGAAAATTAAATATCCATATGCAGAATAATAAAACTGGACCTCTATCTCTCCCCATATACAAGAATCAACCCAAGATGGATTAAAGATTTAAATGTAGGACATGAAACTATAAAACTACTAGAAAAAAAAACATAGAGAAAATACTTCAGGACATTTGGTCTAGGCAAAAATATTACAGCTAAGACCTCAAAAGCACAGCCAACTAAAACAAAAATAGACACATGGGACTATATTAAACCAAAAATTATCATCAGAGCAAAGGAAACAATCAACAGAGTGAAGAGACAACCTATTGAATGGGAGAAAATATTTGTAAACTATTCATCAAACAAGGAACTAATATCCAAAATATACAAAGAACTCAACACAACAATTAAAAAAGCAAATAATCCCATTAAAAATTGGGCAAAGAACATGAAAAAAAAGTTCTCAAAAGACGACATGCAAATGGCCAATAGGTATATGAAAAAATGCTGAACATTCCTAAGCACCAAGGAATTTAAAATTAAAACCACAAAGAGATATCACCTTGCCCCAGTCAGAATGAATCTTATTAAAAAGATAAAGATAATAGGTGCTGGTCAGGATGTGGAGAAAAATAAATTATTATACACCATTGATGGGAATGTAAGTTTGTACAACCACAATGAAAAACAATATAGAAATTTCTCAAACTAAAAATAGAACAACCATATGACCCAGCAATCCCTCCCCTCTAATATATATCTATCCAAAGGAAAAAAAAATCAGTATATCAGAGTGATACCTGCACCCCTATGTTTATTGCAGCACCATTCACAATAGCATAGAAATGGAATCAACCTAAGTGTCCATCAGTGCACAAATAAAGAGAACATGGTATATATACACAATAGAATATTATTCAGCCATGAAAAAGAATGAAATCGTATCATTTGTAGTAACATGAATGGAACTGGAAGTCATTATGTTAAGTGAAATAAACCAGGCACAGAAAAACAAACTCTGCATGTTCTCACTCATATGTGGGAGCTAAAAAACTTGACCTCATGAAGATAGGACTAGGATAGATACCAGAGGCTGGGAAAGGGTGTGAGGGTAGGAAGGGGAAATGAAGAGATGTTGGTGAATGGGTACACACTTACAGTTACATAGAAGACATAAATTCTAATGTCTGAGAGCAGACTAGGGTGACCATAGTTAGCAAAAATAGATTACATATTTCAAAGTAGAGAGATGAGAGGGCCTTCACCCTTGAATCAGGGAGTGAGCATATGACCTAGGTATGGACAATTAGAACAACTAATTCCTAGATATGCAAATTAATTTAGGGGTGGGCACATGAGCTAAGTTGGCCAGTTCAGAGTAAATCTTGAATCCTGAAACTCATGTGTAAGTCACAATAAGAAATGCTTTATTTTCTCCAATTTACTTAGTCTAGAGGGGAGCTGCTGGCAACCCATCTGGCCATCATGCATCATCTGAGAAGGTAAATTAGTATCCTGTGGCTGCCATAAGAAATCATCATAATTGGTGGCTTAAAACAACATAACTTTATTCTCTACTAGTGCTAGGGGCCAGGATTCTGTTCAATGTTCATTTCAATGGGCTAAATGCAGAATGTTGACAGGACCTTGCTTCCTCCAGATGCTCCAGGGGAGAATCGGATCCTTACGTCTTCCAGCTTCTGGTGGCTTCGTCAGTCCAATCGCTGCCACCATCTTCACATTGCTCTCTCCTATTCTGCGCATATCAAATCTTCCTCTGCCTCACTCTTAAAGACAATTGTGATTGATTAGATTTAGGGCCCACCCAGATCAACGAATAATCTCCCCAAGTCAAGATGCTTACCTTAATCATATCTACAAAGACCCCTTTTTCCTTAAAAGGTAATATTTACAGGTTCCAGAGATTAAGGCTTAATGTCTTTGGGTGACCATTATACAACCTACTAAAGAAGTCAACACAGAAAAGTAGAGACACCGGGTTCCGACAACACTATCAGTTGGCGGACCTTACATGTTGAAGGCAGGGAGGTAACTTTTCTAGCTTTGACCTTACGTCGGACTCTAAGTTTAAAATCAATATCACATATATGGAATCAAATTAAAATAATACCAATGTAGAGGCAGTTGTACCACTTCTGTGTCATATACCAACAATGGTATTTAGTAAGTATTTATTGACTTTGTTGCTATTCATTTTTTTCCTTCCTTTCCTTCTTTTTCCTTTCCTCCCTCCCTCCTTCCCTTCTTTTTTTTTTTCTCTCTCTCTCTCTACCTTGTACGGTTAAAACCCAAACAGATTTATGAAAATATAAAATGATATACACACATTAGCACTTTTGTGTTCAAGACGGTGTGTAAATGGGGGCATACGAGGATATAACAGCTGGAATTATAAAACTGTATGCAATTTATACTTTAAAAACACACAAAGATCATAGATAGAAAAGAGTTAAGTGGAAGTCTAAAAATAAAGACTGGAAAAAGCGCATTTATGTTGCCATAGAAAGGAGGGGGGCATTGGGTTTGTTTGAAAAGCAGTGAAGGTAAAATTACAGATATGTTGGAAATTTTGTGAAAAGTTTTTACTGATGAGTTATCTTATACCCACCTTACTAATGTATATGTAAATAGCTATATTTTTGTCTGTCTGAGATGATTTTCTTGAGAGTCTGTTATGATTTCTGAATCCTTGTAGATCTAACAGAAACAGAGGTAAAAAGAATACAAATTATTACTCAAAGATAGACACATAATTGATAAACATAGTCTATGAGAAGTAAGTTGGATAAACCAAACACTTTATTCTTGGAGAGAGCTGTTCTATAATACAAATCTATTCAGGGAGAAAAACAAATTTAATTCCTGCCCCCTGCCTCGCCATTCTTCTTCTTCTTTTTCTTCTTTCTCTTTTTCTATGAAATTCTACAGCTCATCAGTTACTGCACTATGTATCTTTGGATCCGTCTGAGAAGGTCAAGCTCCTAATAACTAATAAATAACTAATAACCGTAGTTACTCTCTGATCAGCTTCTAACGTGTCCCCACCTTGCACTTCTCAGACAGCGAGATAAATAAAAATAGCATCAATATAAGCACTTCCAAACCAGCAGAAATTCTTACCCAAAGGTCCTAACTGCCCATTGGTTGTAGCTGCAGAGAATCAAGAAGGGGCAGAGTGGTTTCTTAGCCCCATATAGACTGGGTGTCTTCCCTTAGTTTATCTCCACCTGATAACTGGTCCAAAGCTAGGGGACCAGGACCTTACAACCATTGTACCAATGAACAGTAGGAACTCTTCAAAACATAACCAGCCTTCTGGGAGAAAGCAAATGGGGCATAAAAAATCAAATGTAGGCTGGGTGCGGTGGCTCATGCCTGTAATTGCAACACTTTGGGAGGCTGAGGCGGGCAGATTGCTTGAGCTCAGGAGTTCGAGACCAGCCTGGGCAACATGGCAAAATCCTGTCTCTACAAAAAATGCAAAAAATCAGCCAGGGGTAGCGTGGTGGCACATCCTGTAGTCCCAGCTGCTCGGGAGGCTGAGGTGGGAGGATTGGTCAAGCCTGGGAGGCAAAGGTTGCAGTAAGCCGAGATCATACCACTGCACTCCAGCCTAGGTGACAGAGTGAGACCCTGCCTCAAAAAAGAATAATAAAAAAAAAAAAAATCAAATGTATTTTAAGAATCCATTTTATTGCAGATAGTAATTCATGTGTTCACCTTTTTCTGGCTTCTTGATTTCTAGGTTTAACTTTCTCCCCCACTTGGTTCTACCCAACAGCCCTTTTGGCTGCTCCTCCCTGGAATCATTTCCTGTCATGACATTTTTAGAAACCAAAATAACAGCATTTACAATGTAACAGCTAAATATTCCCATAGAATATCTTGGTAAAACAAGCACTTTTGCATGGTAGTTTTTAACACACTATTGGCTATGTATTCAGACTGAACCTCTTGAGTGTCCACGGTTTCTGGCTAACCAATGGGCTGATTGCAGGATTGTTCGCTGTCACTCCGTAATCACATCTGGCATACAAAGCTGGCGGCATTCTGGCTTCCAGGCTCTTCTTGTGTAGTGTCTTGTTTTAATGTCAGAACACGCATTTATTCAGGGAGTGAGGGGGAGGGTGCTTTTAATAATAAGAGGCAGCTGTGTAATTCTCTGTAAAAAATGAAGCAGAAGAAGTACATTGTAATATTACATGGGGTTATGAGATACCGCAAATGGAATGTTAGTTGGACAAATTCAATATATTTTGAATTCTTTGGATTTTTTTAAAAGAAGATAATCACTTGTGCTTTTTTCAATACAATTATTTACGTAGCCTTTTACATCTTGAATTTTCCAATTTAAATTTAGTACAGCATAAACTCAGAGAGGTGCTGGGAAAAATTTCCAAAGTGTCTGTAGACAGTGTTCTTAAACCACGATGGCAAAACCTCAAAAATAGATGCAGCTCCATCAGAGTTAAATTGAATGACTCAATGTCTGGACCACTCAGGTTTTTTTCTAGTTAGGGAAGGGGAGAGACTGTTCTCTGTGGAAATTCAGCATCCTGGACGGAGGAAGTTTGTTTTGTTTTTGTTTTTAGAGAGCGGGAAAAATTGCCATCATGGGAAATTAGAATAAAAACAGAAGTCTCTTTAAAAGTGTAAAATAGGCCGGGCGCGGTGGCTCAAGCCTGTAATCCCAGCACTTTGGGAGGCCGAGACGGGCGGTTCACGAGGTCAGGAGATCGAGACCATCCTGGCTAACACGGTGAAACCCCGTCTCTACTAAAAAATACAAAAAACTAGCCGGGCGAGGTGGCGGGCGCCTGTAGTCCCAGCTACTCGGGAGGCTGAGACAGGAGAATGGCGTAAACCCGGGAGGCGGAGCTTGCAGTGAGCCGAGATCGCAGCCACTGCACTCCAGCCTGGGTGACAGAGCCAGACTCCGTCTCAAAAAAAAAAAAAAAGTGTAAAATAACAGTCAGCTTCCTTGTTTTTTGTTACTTTTTATTTTCAAAGATTACATGGTAGCCTGGAGCTGTGTCTTAGAGATCAGTTTACCCAACTTCCACAATTTATAAAGCCTTGAGGCTCCCTTTTCCCTCGTGTGTCTTCCTTTGCAATCACTTTCCCAGACTCTTGTGCATCATACAAGGGGTGGCAATGCGACTAAGTTTTGGCCAACAATATATAAGGGGAAGTATGGTGGATTGTGTCACTGTTAAAAATAAAAAGTGCCTTGATAAAAATGATTTTCAGCTTCACCGGCTTCACATTTTTTGTAGTCTCCCTCTCTCTCTCTCTCTTTCTCTCTCTCTCTCTCTCTCTCTCTCTCTCTGTGTGTGTGTGTGTATGTGCACGTATGTGTGTGTCTGTGATTACAAAGGCTAGAAATGGCTTCATGTTTTTGTATGGGAATGTGATGCCTAGAGCTTAGCAGCCATCTTGGGCCTATGAGGTGGCAAGACTAATGATGGAGAGAGAGCAGAGTAGGAGGATGGAAAGAGCTTGATTCAGCCAGCCACTGTACCAAATCTGGAACATCCTACCTCTGGATTTCTTTCTATGTGAGTCAATTAATTGTCTTTATTTCATAGGTCACTTGTAGCTTTCAGTCAGTTTTTCTGTTACTCATACCTCTGTACATTTCTAATTAATACACCCTGAAAGATTAATCTGCCCAAGTTTATAAAATACGTAGTAGCATAGTCTCAATTGGAATCCAGCTCTTCTAATGTCCTGTTTATTATCTTTCCCTCTCACTGTCTGCCCCGTTCTATCACCAGATTAGTCTCTATACGAATAAATGGGTTATTGTCTTGATTAAACCTGTTAAGTATGGTACTGCAGTAAATTGTATTTGTACCCTAGATTAGTACCTGCATTTGCAATCCCTTTTGCTAATAGGCATAAATTTTATAGCCTGTCTTTGCATGAAAAGGCTTGACAAGTTAAGAATTATTAGATGATTCATTTTCAGATTGAAAGCCTTGATTTAAGAAGAGGTAACCATTGCAAGTCGTGTTAATATTGAGGGAATTTAATGTGTCAACATGCTTACAAAGTTGACTGTATTTCAAACCTCAAATTCTTATCCTGAAAGGTGTTTTTAGGAACAAGTAAGTAAAATTATATCAAAATAGAAAAATGTAAGCAAATGTTTGGCAAAACTAAAGAGTAAGAATAAAATATATAGGTAATAATATCTCAGAATATATGACATACTACACCAAAATTATCTGAAAACTTGTGCTCTCTTCCTGGATTTACCAATTATTTTTGTGTAATAAAAATCTCGTCTGATTGGTTTTTCTCTACCTTTAAAATAACCATTTTATGGCACCATAGAATTCTAGGGTTGAAAAGATTCAAAAATCCATGTTATCCATTACCTGGCTTTGAGAGAGACCCATTAAATCATTTTACCAGGTGAGAATGGATGATTTTCCAAAGATTCTATGGAAAAGAAAGTTGTAAACTTTCTGTACAGAATAGAGAATAATCATGAACTGTATCACGAACACAAATGAAATCGTATTTTAAGAGCACTTTTAGTTTGTTATGTGAAGGATCCTAGATACAAAGGAGACTTTACTCTTTCTCCTTCAGGTCCTTAGAAGACATTTGGCTTTCCCCTAGGCCATCAAATGACCTTTCACGCTTCAGCACTGTGTTATGACTGCACTTGCTTTCCATCAACAGTGCCTTTCAGAATGCTTTCACAGTACAATGACTTAGTTTATAAAGCGTCCATTGGAAAAAAAAAAAAAAAAAAAAGACATGATTTCCATGGCAGTGGCAGCACCATAAAGAAAATGAAGCTTGGAGAAGCACAGAGATGCAGATGTTAAACAGTGGTATCCTCCTGAGACCGATAACCACAACAGTACTATAGGAGTGTTGTAGTGTAGAACAATTTTTTTTAAGTTATAGTGAATTCTAGATTTAGTGAATGTATAGCTCAACATATCAAGTTGTTGACAGTGAACATTATGCATGGTTATTCTGTATTGTATTTTAAGGAATCATGTTTCAATACGGTGTGCCCTGTTTTTCACTCCCGTAATCTATTCTCTGAATTAGGAGACATGTCTTCTTTACATCATGTAAGAAATGTGAAGAGGAAAATTGAATTCAAGATCCCTATGATAATAGTTAATTATTTGTTTATTTGATGAAGTTATTTTGACAGACTATCAATAAATTATTCTTTTATCCTCCCCCGTGTTCCTTCTGTTATAAAGCGAGAGTATCTCTCTTTTCCTTCTCCCACCTGGACACAGACAGCAGTTTATCAGTGACTTTTGTTATTTAGCTATTGAACCTGAGAAGTGTCAGGGATGGTGACAAAGCAGACACTTTCTTGTGCTCAAACATACTACTATTTGGAGAAGGATAGACTTCTATTTTGATGGTGACAAGTGACCAAGCCTACATGGAAGAACTTCTTATAGAGCCTGAAAATGGGTTCTAGCTGATGTCCTGCAGTATGAGGACACAGACTTAGGGTTTCTGACTTCTTTCATGTGGTCAGAAGCTGTTGGACCTGCACTGGAGTGTCCCCCAGGATTGCCCTAGGCAGAGTCACAAAGTCTTCCTTTAACTTCTCTCCAATCCAGGTTCCCTACCTACTCTGCAAGTCCTTTTAGGTCCACTGTCTTCACTGGCACTGTCTTCTCTTTATCAATTTAAATTGTATCAATTTATCTGTAGTTAGTGTTAATGCCCAGAAGCCACCACATAATCCTAATAATTATCATCTGTAAAATTAAATAATTGAAACTTTCCCCTTGATAGCTCTTTGATTATACCACTTTAAATCAACAACTTTAAATATCACAGTAAATTGTATTTGTCCCCTAGATTAGTGCCTGCATTTGCCATTACCACCACTTTCCATTCATTCACATCTATAAAAATAATTATGATAATAAGACTCCTAGAAGAAAACACAGAAGTAAATCTTTATGATCTTTGGGTTAGGCAATGATTTCTTAGATATGACACCAAAAATGTAAGCAATGAAAGTAGGATTGTTAACTTGGTCTTCACCAAGGTTAAAAACATTTATGTTTCAAAGTACACCATCAGGAAGGCGAAAAGAATGTCTATAGACTGGCAGACAATATTTGTAAATGACATATCTGAAAATGGGCTTGTATCCAGGCCATATAAAGAACTCCTACAACTCCAAAAAAACTACACAGTTTTAAAAAAGGGGCAGATGATAAGAATAGGTATTTCTTTAATGAAGATTTACAAATTATCAACAAGCATATGAAAAGATGTTCAACATCATTAGCCATTAGGAAAATGCAAATCAAAACCACAATGAGATACTACTTCACATTCGCTAGAATAGTTATAATCAAGACAGTGACAAGTGCTGAAAGGATGTAGAAAAATTGGAACCCTCATACTTTCCTGGTGGGAAAAAGTATGGTACAGTCACCTTGGAAAACAGTTTGGCAGTTTCTCAAAATGTTAAACATAGATTTACCATATGATTTAGCAATTCTCCTTCTAGAATATACACCCAAGAGAATTGAAAACATGTCTAAACAACATCTTGTACATGAATGTTCATAGAAATATAATTTGTGATATCCAAAGAGTAGGAACAACCCCAATGTTCATGAACTGATAAATAAATAGACAAAAATATTTTATATCCATACAATAGAATGGTCTTTGGCCATAAAAAGGAATGAAGTGCTGATATATGCTACAATATAGATGAACCTAAAAATATGATTCATGAAAGAAGCCAGTCATAAGATACCACATATTGTGTGATTTCATGTATACACAAAAGAGAATAAGCAAATATATAGAGGCAGAAAATAATGCTTGACCAGTGTTTGCAGGAGAAGGAGAGAAGAGAATAGAAAGTGACTTTTCACGGGTATCGGTTTCTTTACGAGATGATGAAAATGTTTTAAAATTAGATTATGGTGATGGTTGCACAACTCTGTAAATATTCTAAATAGCATTGGATTGTACACTTAAACACACTTAAACAGGTGAAGTTTGTGGTATAAATTATATCTCAATAAAGCTGTTAGAATAATTATGATATAATCACATGAAAATAATTATGTTGGGTAATACTGTATTGTTTATTATCTTCATTGTGGAATAACAATTATTAAACTAGAAATAAAAACATAAAAAGGCAAAAAGAAAGCACATTGAATTTTGGCAGTGACCAAGTTATTTAGCTTCCATGACCACCAACATATACCATACTGTAGCTGGATACTAGAACTGAGGAGATTACCAGTAGGTTTTGGAAAATAAAAACTGAATGTAAAATTTCTAGAAGAAGTTCATAAAAATGGACAAAAGTGTACAAGCAATTCTACTTCAAAACACAGTAATATATTTCAGAGACACACTTCCATATGTTAACACAGATACATATTACAGCATTGCTTGGAATAGTAAAAAAGGGGAAACAACTTAACAACCCACCAGTAAGGGAATTAACAAATTACCTGTGGGTTGTTACTATCTGACAGTTAAAACAAAGCACTTAAATCAGTCTGCATCTATTCATATTAAAAATTAAGAGAACAAAATATTCAATGCAAAATGCAAACTGCTATATGTAGATACAATATCAAATATATAAAATTTAAAGACCCCAAAATACTATATTTTAATTCACACATACACATGTAGAAAAATTATGCAGACTTGCATGGAATTGATTCCCTGAAACTTCAGAACACCTCTGAGGAAACAGGAGAGGAAAGATATAGCACTGGGATTCAAGTTTTAGCTGTATCTAGAATACTTTATTAAAAGAATAAGTAAATATGAAGTGAAAATGGACTAATATTAACATGTTAGGTCTGTGTGGAAAGTAACTTGTGGTACATTACTCTTTGTATTTTAAAATACTTCAATACAAAAAATTGATTCACAGAACAGAACATTCAATATAGATTAACTCTTTTAATTGAGTTGACATAAAGCCCTATATTGGTTTAGCTCCTCTCATCAATATTTTCCATACCTGAAATCTGGACAGATGGCAGACATAATATTTTCTCTCCTTGACAGATGGAGGAACTGAAAGGTTTAATTACTTTCTCCTAGTTACATAATAAGTAGCTCTAGAAACAAAATATTTTGTTCAATAACTTGGGTGTTTGGCCACCACACAGCATGTCAGAACACAATAATTAGCCTTTATAGTTTCAACTGTAAGATAACATATTTGTATATATGTTCTATTACATATATAAAACAGAAACCTTATATCTTCTTGTATAATCAGACACTGTAGAACAGGATGAAATAATCTTAAAATTTTAATAATCTTATTTTTTTCTAATGACATTGTAGATAAGATTTTATAGTCTTACATCATTGCAAAAAAATTAATTATTTTTTAAAGTGAGAGTTTTTGATATTAAGTAAAAGCAAAGAATAAATTAAATCCTTTGGTTAGAGCATTTGATTTCCCTGCTTCAGAAGTGGGCACACACAAAAAAAGAAGTGGGTACACAGGGCAAAGATCACTTGGCTTATATTCAGGAAATGTAAATTTTCCTCTCAAGTCTTCCACTGGCTAAATGTAGCCTGCATCAATTCTTTGACTTTTTCAGGGTCTGTCAGAGTGTATGGAAGAAAGGATGTGTCAGGTTGAGAGAAAAGCATTAGTCTTAAAATTTATTGCTTGTTTGAAACATGGCAAAGAGCCTGCTGGGGTTCGAAGGAAGTGTTCATGGAAGGCCATAGTAGGAAATGCGGCTAGAGATGCTTTAGATTTTACTCTACAGCAATTGAAGATTTTTGAGGAATGGCATTGTAATATCTGCCTTATAGTTTGCATGGGAATATTGTCATTTGGTAATTGCAAGCAACGACATATGCACAAACCATGCTATATCAGGTCAACCAAACAGGAATTTTTTTTCCTCCCAAAACAAGAAGTCAGGAGATGGACAGGCCACGGTTGGGGCAGTGTCTCAAGGAAGTCAGGAAGGACCGAGTTTCCTTCTAGCTTTCCTGTTCCACCAGCCTCAGCTTGTGGATTTTACTCTCATTCTCTCATCACAGCTGTTCCATTTGTAGGCAGATAGAAAAGGGAAATTCAAAAGTTAAGTGTTCATCCAGCCATGTTTTCTCTTTTTCCAGTAAAATAATAACTTTAATGGACATTACATCCGGTAGACTTATGTTTATATCTCGCTGGCCAGAAATGGATTACAACAAAGTCTGGGGAGGTGTGTGTGGGTTGTGTATGTGTGTATGTATGTGTGTTTTACTGCTTTATTGAGGTATAATTTACATAAAATAAATTACATATGTAGAAAGTATGCATTTTGGTGAGTTTTGATATATGTGTATGATTATGCAATGATTATCATAATTAAGATACCAAATATTTCAAGAAAGTATTCAAAAATGGAAACTTTGTTACCTGAATAAATCAAGCTTCTTTTAGCAAGAGGCAAATGGTAAAAATAGATTTTTGAGAGACAACTAGTAGTGTCTGCCACAATTTCTAAATTCATAAATTTTCCCAAAGGTGCCCCTCCAAGTGATTCTCCTGGTTCATCTTGGTGGACCCCAGGAGAGCTTTAGGAAGAGAACCAGAGCAGGAGCTTGCCTTGGGATCATTTCTAGTCTAAGTCTGCCTTGGTAGGCAGTGTAATATAGATGGAAGTATGGTTTTTGGTGTCAGATTGGGGTTAAAATCCCAGCTCTACACTAACTCATTGTGTGGCTTTAAACAATTCAGTTCAACAAAGTTTTAATGAGTATCAGCTATACAACAACTACTTTCCATTCCCTGGGCATAAAGCAGTAAAAAGGACAGACATAGTCCATCCCTTCACAGAGCTTCCTATCTGGTAGTGGCTGAGCCTTTTCTATAAATAGGAGCTGTGGTGAGGATAAATTTAGTTCTTACAACATGTGAATGTTAGTTTAATGGTAATTATTCAGGAACTGTCCTAGATTTGGCTTCGTTCTACTAATACTTGAATTTGGGAGCTTGCATCTCCCCACTAGAAGTTCTGCTTGATTTTGGATTAATCCCAAGAGTTCTGGGCTTTTTTTGGAGCTAATTAAGGTCAACTATCTTTTCTCTTCCCACACCATGGCCCTAAACCTCACTGGGTTAAGAGCACATGACCTAGTTTCCTCCCTCTGGGGGAAGAAAATTCTCAAAAATCTCCTTAGAATATCAGAAATTCCCTGCCTCTGAAAATCCTTCTGTTTTGAAGTCACTCAGGAGCTGGATCCTATTTTCCCCACCTGCTTCCAGTTCACTCCTGTGAGTAGCTTGGGTTCCCAGATCTGCCTGAGGATACTAGAATTCATCCTGGACTATGGATACCCCTATTCTAGATCACAAGGTCCCAGATTTCTTCCAGGGGAATGAGAAAATACTGTGAAGATCAACAGTTCTTCTTGCAATTTCTTTTGCTTTTCAATAGCATTGAAAATGTATTGGAATGTTATAATTACTTCTTATTAAGTAACCAGGATCTCTATGTCTGTCTGTCTGTCTGTCTATCTATCTATCTATCTATCTATCTATCTATCTATCTATCTATCTATCTATCTTTCCATCCATCCATCCATCCATCCATCCATCCATCCATCCATCCATCCATCTACCTATCTATCTGTGGCTATTTTTGGAGTTGCCTCGTCTTGGGAAATATTTAACAGTTTTGTGAAATCCCAGATACCATAATGGTAACTGATATTCCTTTAAAACTCACAATTTAGTGATGCATCCAGGAAAAATGTCTGTCTTTGCCAGACTCCTGGATTCTCTGCCTTTAGCCTGGCTATTTGTTCCGTGACCTGGTTGCCTGTGAAGCTGCGACTTCCAAGAGCTTGGTGCAGTCTGTGTCCCGGTAGAGACAGGAGCAAGGCTCACTACTTACATATGTCTGTAGTCTAGTACTGTCTCCTCAGGGACTCTAGAGTCTTCCCTTTCCTTTTCCCAGCATGAGTTGGTCTGAAATGGGCATAAATGGGCACTTCCGTGAATCCCGCTGAAGTTTTAAGAGAATTTAAGGGGTAAGGAATGAATGAAAGACTACACAAAACATTCTGCAAATACCCAAAATGCACGTGAAAGCATTTCTGCTAAACTTTCTGATAATCTACTCCTGGCCCTGTGGTGGTTTCTCCCCAAATATTGCATGTTTCAGACATACTTATACTAAAACTCATTTATCTAAAATTCAAATTGAACCGGGTGGCCTGTACGTTATCTGGCAGCCCTAAGTTAGACAATACTGTGTATTCATGACCATGATAACTTACTGGACCTGAGTGCTTTGACTGTGAAATAAAATACTCTGTTACATTCCTCTCCATGTGTAGTGTGATAATGCAACCTTGTTTTTGAAAAGCCAGCTGAAATGCGGTGGCCTCTTTCCTGATCCCTCATTTGTCCAGACAGAAGTATTATCTTCTTCCTCTGAATCCTATAGCCTGTCTCTTGTTTTGGTTGTATATTTCAACTAAACTTGTGTCAGCATTTCTCAAAGAGAAGCAGCTGAAACCCAGATTCTTCTGGTGAGTGAAGTTAGATGACAGTCATCTGCCCTTCAGTGACTTGAAATCACTGATGTTTAACAGAAACCAGAATGGCTTCAGATCTGTCCACAATGGGGTTTATATCTTTGTGTTATGGGCTTAGGTGGCCCTAAAGAGGCTAATTCTGCAAGGATAGAGAAGTATGGCCTGAGAGGAGGGTTCTGGAATGGTGAGCTACCCCAGAAACTTTGTATTGGTGTTAGTATCATGTGATTTGTCTCTGCTAGAATTTGGCTTACATAAGTCTTATTCAAATGTGAGTTTAGCCTTTTTGCGAGCGAGTAGGGGTAATATCTGCGTTCTACTTTTGTCTGATATGGGAATTAGGGATTTATTAGTTTCTAAAAATGGTGTCTAAAAGTTGCACATGTTTTTCTAGCCTGTAGAAGTGATTATTAATCGTTTGAAAATCACCAATTACTTGGAAAGTTTCTATAATTTGTATATAAGACTAAAGGGGCCTGGAACCATATTCTGGAAATAATTTTTGCCAAAACTTTACATTGTTTTTGTCATCATTATCGATTCAGTTTTTCTATATCTTCTTAATTTGATTTTGGAAATTTGTATTTTTTTCTATAAACATGTAATTTCTATTGAGACTTTAAGTATATTTTCATAGAATTATATGTACATATTTTTAACAATCGAAAAAAATCTACTCTCAATCTGTTGATTTTTCTACTTACACGTTCCTAATTTTTCCTAAAGCTTATTTTTGTCCAAAGAATTTCTCATGGTTTTGTTTCTGATGCTGTCCTTTTCCAATTCCTAATTTATTAAAATTGATTTTAACTTTTAATTCCTTCTTTTTAATTCCTTTAGGTTTACTTTATCCTCTAATTTATAAAAAATTGTATGTTTAGTTAATATTATTATTTCTTGATTAAATAATGAAAGATTATATGAGTGTTACCAAAAACATTATTAGTCATCTCTCATAATTAAACAAAATGAAATATAATGTTATTTTTTCAAATGATCTTCAGAAAAATAGAAACAAGAAAATGAAGACCACTCATAATTTAACTACTAAATTTAACAAATTTTAACCTTTGAGACATATTCTTTTAGGTCGTTCTCTTTCCTCTGCTCTCTTTTTCTTTCTATATATATTTTTTAAAAAAGATATCACACTATATTTAGGCAATTTTATATTTCTTTCCCTTTTTGAAAATACTTTAATGTCAGAAAATGCAAATATATATCTTCTTCTTCTTTTTTTCTTCTTTTTTTTTGAGATGGAGTTTTTCCTTTGTAGGCCAGGCTGGAGTGCAATGGCGCCATCTGAGCTCACTGCAACCTCTGCCTCCCAGGTTCAAGAGATTCTCCTGCCTCAGCCTCCTGAGTAGCTGGGATTGTAGGCGCCTGCCACCACACTTGGCGAATTTTTTTTTTTTTTTTTTTTTGTATTTTTAGTAGAGACAGGGTTTCACCACGTTGGCCAGGCTGGTCTCGAACTCCTGACCTCAAATGATCTGCCTGCCTCGGCCTCCCAAAGTGCTGGGATTACAGGCGTGAGCCACCACACCCAGTCTATATCTTCATTTTTAATAGCTGCATAGTTTTCTACAGCCTGGCTATACCATAATTCATTTAAACTACCCACTATTGATGAATATTAAAGTGTTTCCTGTTTCTATGTTAGTATCTTTACTATATAATGAGAGCTAAATAATTAATAAAGTAGAAACCAACAAAATGTTGCATTGAAAATGATTGTACATACCTCCTTCATCAGCAACCTTATTATTTCTTTAGTGTGAGTTTCTAGACATAGAATTGTTTGGGAGTCATTGGGTACAGGTATATTAAATTTGCATAAATTTTTCCAAACTTCCTTTCAGATTGGTCGTGTTATTTGCACTCTTACCAACTTTGGTGAGAGTGTTTACTTCATATATCCTGGCACCACTGGCTATAATTAATATAATCAGTGCCGATATGATAAAACTATAATTTTTAACAACTTCATTGTTTTTTAAATTTTAATTTTTTAAATTAATGGTAAGGTTAAATTTTTGATAAATATATTGCCCAATTAACTTATGCAATGATTTATATATAAACATATATACTTGTCATTTAAATAGTACCTGGTATAAAATAAGTGCTATATAATGATTGCTATTTTATTATTGTATTATTAATTTTATTTTCATGTTGTAAACTGCCTGTGATTATTCTTTACTAATTTGCTCTTGATACTTATTTTTAAATTGTCTCCTGACAGGAGTTTTGAGTTCTCTTTGACCCCAGAGTTAATTAGCAGTGTGATATTTGAGGCTTTTTTGGGGGGAGTATAAACTTTATTAGATTTCTACCTTAATGTTTCTAGCTTTGCTTTTTTTCTACTTGCATGCATGTAGTACTCATTCTTCAATCATGAAATGTTAAAATTTCAGGAGATGTGTGGGTTTTTTTCACTAATCTGCCTTTAGGGAGTCTTTTTGTCCTAACATCTTTCAATTTGCTTGTATTACATCTTTACCTATTGCTTCTATCTCATTTTCTTCTGGTATTATCTGGAATATGAATTATTAATAACATTAGATTTTTCTTTTTATCATTCCTTTATAATATTCTTTCTCTCATCTTTTAAGTATCTGTTCTTTTTCTCTGCATTATGAAAGAATCTTTTAAGTATATTCTTCACATCACTAGTTTTATTTTCTATATTGTCAATTCTATCTTTACTGCCTCCATTCTACATAAGTGTTATAATTTTGCGTCTTTTGGACTTCTTACCTGCCCTTTTCTTTTTGCTGCCTTTTACCCAGGCACACTTACATCTAATTTGTAATTTAACCTCATTTGACCTTCAATAGTGTATGTTTTTATAATTTTATTCGGAACATGGAGCATATGTTCCTAATACTTACCTCTTATTTCCTATATAGTAGGTAACCTGTAAATTTTGCTTTGTTTTTCCAGCTTGAATGTAATTAATTTATCATACCATAGATTATTTTCATAACTCCATATCAGTATTTTGTCTCGCTGCTTATCATTTTTATTTGAGCAGTAGACTACCTATATTTGATATCTATCCACAAACGGGGTAGGTCAGACTTCCGCTTTGCGCTATTAAGCTTGACTATGGCTGGATTTCAATCATACTGTCAGTTCACAGATCTGTCTCCCACAGACTGAGAGGAGGAAGAAAGAAGGTACATCAGCAGAGGAATGTTGACTGTGCAGTTTTCTCTCCATGTTTGGTGAAGCTGCTGGGCAGGCGTTCGATTTCTAGGTCCAGCTTCTTTACTGTCTATTCTTAGCCAGCTTTCCTAATGCTTTATACAGTCTGCAGCTGTGTCCAGCTTCCTTCCCAGCTGAAATCTTACTGCATGGTATGGCCTCTGTAAGAATTGAGTGACTTCAAGAGATATTTCTTTTATTTTTATTATTATTTTTTAGAGATAGGCTCTTGATCTGTCACACAGGCATGACCATAGTTCACTGCAGCCTTATATTCCTGGGCTCAAGCAATTCTGGTGCCTCAGCCTTCTGAGTGGCTAGGACCACAAGTGCATGTCACCTTGCCCAGCTAACTTTTACATATTTAAATTAATTATTTATTTAGAGACAGAATGTGGCTATGTTGCTTAGCCTAGTCTCAAACTTCTTGCCTCAAGTGATCTTCCCACTTCAGCCTCCCAAAGTGGCAACATTACCTGCATGAGCCACCATGTCCAGCTGAAATACTTCTTTTAAATGCTGATGATCACCCTCAGCAAATGGAAGCCAAAGAAGTGTGTTTGCTCTCTGCTACCATGGAGCCTCCAGCTGTCAGATCTTGTCCCTCCAAGTAAGAGACTCTGTACCGCAGAATTTCAGAGTTGTTCCTTGGTGACTGGTTTTATGTATTTCCTTTTAATCTGATCTACTTTATTTATAGTTGAAACTCCTCCAAGTTTCTCTTTTGTGGATGGTATCTCCATAGTTTCTAAATCTGAAGTGATTTTCTTTTATCTGTTATAACCCTGTCGACATTTCAGTGGAAATCTGAGAACAGGAGTGTTAGGCATCTGTGCTGTGATTCACATTTCCAGTTTTTAACATTGCCCTGTTGACTTGACCATAAAAGATGGTCAAAAATAGCTGGTGACTGAACAAAGATTGAACATCATTTTGAGCTTAAGGGATACCAATTACTTTATGCAACTTTTGTATTACTCTTGCATATGCTGAAATCATTGAGGTTTCTTCATATTTCTTTTTTGGAAACGCCAAATGGCAATAATGATAGTTTCTCATGGAAGAAAACTGGGACTACTCTAGAAATAAGTTCAAAATTTATTCCTTAATTTGTAACATAAGTCTTGACCTCATTCCTTATATTTCTGTGTTAGGCAGAACACATATAAGGATAAATAAGGTATGGTTTCTACCCTTCTCAAAGTACTT